CTCAAGTCACTAGAATCGCAGACCATGGTGCATTTAAAGATCATGCTATTTTGAGCACCTGACTTTACAGGAAAGAAAGGTCCAGAGATGAGATGCAGAGATACTGACTTTTGAAGGACACTCAACTGGTTAATAGAAGAGTCGCTCATTAGCCAGTTCATACCACTAACCTTTTCAGTACATGACCCTCTGCCCTACTTCTCTCTTGCCCAAACACGGTGTGGTGGCCAGCCTCTGAGATGGCAGTCATGCCCTCAAGTAGCCCTTCTCCCACAGGGTAGTCTGTATGACCAATGAAATAGAGCAGATGGGATGGATGTCACTCCTGAGAATAGGTTCTAAAATCTGTGGCTTTTGCCTTGGGCTCTCTCTTCCCCTCTTTCTCTTAGATCACCTACTCTGGGGGTAGCCAACGGCCACAGGCAGGCAGGCAGGCTAGGACAGGCTCACGTGGTGAGGACTAAAGTCTCTGGCCAACAACCAGTGAGGAGCTCAGGCCTGCTGACAACCACATGCCTGAGCTCCCAAGCAGACCCTTCCCCAGCTGAGCTTTCAGGGGGCTGAAGCCTGGCCAACAGCTTAACTGCAACCTCACGAGAGGCCATGAATCGAAAACACCGTCCGAGCCATGCATGGATTCCTAATCCACAGAACCTGTGAGATGATCAAGGTCTACTGCTTTCAGCTGCTAGGTTGAAGAGTCATTTGTTATATGGAGTAGATTAAAAACACTGGGGTTTTTCTTGGCTGTTTTTCCCCCCTTGGAAGGAGAGAGGAGAGAGAACTAGAGAGAGAGATGAAGGCAGATCCCAGTTTACCAGTCAACGAGACCCTGTCCTACACTATTTTAAGAGATGAAACTGTGGCAAATCAGAGGAAAAAAAGGAAGCTTCCCTGGAGGCCTGGGGCAAGAGCCTTGGTAGTGCAGGATTGTCTTTCTAGGCCTAAGTGACAGAATTGCAGTCGCTGGGCTGCTAGAATGCACCAGCTCCCTTTATAGAAGTTGTGAGCCTGTGGCGCGTGCAAGTGCTAACTACAGAAGATGCATAATGTACAAACCTTACGAAGCTTTAGAATCAGAGTTACTCTTTGGTGGCTATTCTGCGACTTAAGGGTTCTCCCTTAAGTGAAAGGTGATTTCCTGTGATTCCGGCTTCCCCTCTTGGGGAAGGGGTTGGGATGGAGTTTCGGTGTGGTGTTTTGAGAGGCCTCGTCCTTCCCGCCCCTAGTCACTCCCACTGCGGACCAGCCCAGCCCTGCCTGCCCAGTAGACACATCCAAGAGAAGCTCTTTGAAAGGTGCCTGAGCAAAAAGCATCCCACAAATGCATACATGCCAGAGAATATTGTCACAAGAGCTCCTTCCGACAGACTTTCTTATTGGAGGGTCCAAAACTGTAGGGGCCTTAGGCAACAGTCTCTACCCTATATGCTCAGAAGTGAGCTCGGTCTTGTTTTCTATCCAGAAAACCTATAGCTGGAAGCATAACGGGCTTTCCTGTGCCCAGAATTTGTTTCCTAAAATACAGCTAAACTAGGTTAATGTCTTTTTTTTCTTTCTTTTTTTTTTTTTTTGCCCTTGAAGTGTAGATTCAGAGCTTCTGGGAAACTTCCTAGCTTCTTATTTTAAAGAAACAACAAGAATACAGCTGCACCTTCATTTCAGGAGGCATTTCAAGCAGACAAGCCAGAGAGGTGGGCCTGACCGCCTCTCCCAGGTCAGTTGGAGGGAGTGAGAGCTCCCTCGGCTCACTCCACAATGCCATGGTGGCTCACTGGACTTAATAATGCCAAGTTCATTCGGTGCAGCTGGGGGAGGGCTGGAGGCCCTTTCAGAACTATTGTTTGTGAGCCAACAAGCTCATCTCTCCAGCTGTTCCTTAAGTCTCTTAAAGAGACAGGAAGTAGAAGAAAATGAAGAAGTTGGGGCCAGAAGCCAGTTTCCGCCACCAGGAACAACGGGTGCAATTGTTTCTCACTTAGCGGCTGCTACCTCAAGGACGATCAGACGCAAGAATGCGCATGCTGTTACCATCATGATAATCCCACCATGGGAACTTCCGGATGTACTTTTCCGGAATCTTAGGGTACTGGGAAGACCATTCTGGTAGAAGAGAGATTCTACAGGAAACTCAGAGAGTGGTCAGTTCTTGGGTGACACCTCCAAGCAAGAGAAAATGTGAATATGTGCTTTCTTCAAAACCAAGGCAGGGCAATGATGCTATTGGAAGGTCTTCATTTTAGTCCCTCCTCTTTCCTCTGTCTGGTATCGCTTTGTCTCTTTAACACGGTGTCTGTGTTCCATTTCTCACAACCTGCTACATTTCCAGATCAAAAGACAAGTTTCTAAAAACTCACTGACCCAACTCTCTCGCCTCTGCTGATGACTCTCAAGTGTCTATCTCTAGCCCTGACCCCCTTCCCAAGTGCCTGCTAGAAATCACTGGCTAGATGTCCACCCTACCTTAAGTTCCATTTTGAAAAGGACATCCTTCTCTCAAAATGGTTCCAACTCCCAACTATGATAAGCTAGTAAAGAAGGGATAAATTTATTTATTAAAAAAAATAAACCGGGGCGCCTGAGTGGCTCAGATGGTTAAGCGTCTGCCTTTGGCTCAGGTCATGATCTCAGGGTCCTGGGATCGAGTCCCGCATCGGGTTCCCTGCTCAGTGCAGAGCCTGCTTCTCCCTCTCCCTCTGCCACTCCCTCTGCTTGTGCTCTTCTGTCTCTCTGTCAAATAAATAAATAAAATCTTTAAAAAAAAAAAAAGAAAAAAAAATAAACCAAGGGGGGATGCCTGGGTGGCTCAGTCAGCTAAGCATCTGCCTTTGGCTCAGGTCCCTATCTCAGGGCTCTGGGATCGAGTCCCACATCAGGCTCCTTGCTTAGCAGGGAGCTAGTTCTCATCACTCTTTACTTCCAGTGCTCTCTCTCCCATTTATTTGAACACAACGTGATCTTCTTATCCGTCAGACTAGGCTAGGCTATGCTGCTATAACAAATGACTCCAAAAGCTCAAGCTTAACACAATAAAGGCTGACTTCTTGTTTACATTATATAGTCATCATGCATTCACTCTGGCTCTGCTCCGAGTTGTTGTCATTCTGGGACCTACCTGAATGGGACAGTCCCTGTTTGGGGCCATGTTGTTCCCAATGCAAAGGGAAAAGAGAGCATGGTGAACCACACTACAATCATCGAAACTTTTGCCTAGAAATGGCATAGATCCCTTTGAACCTTTCATTGACAAAAGCCTCACATGCACAAGTCTGATGTTAGCTAGGTAGGGATGGGTAAGCCTTTCACAGGAAAAGGAAAAAATGATTGGGGCTACAGTTGGCCACAGGACATGCTCAGCGTGATTTCTCTTTGCCATGACCTTTAGTTGACTTTATAATCAGTAGCCCCCCACACTGGAGTTGTTTTGGGTGCCTACCTGCCCATGGCCCTCTAGGTGGTCTTGTGATCCACTCTCCTGGCCACAGTTCACTGGATCTTCAGGGACGACAAGTGACCCAAGGATAGCCAAGACACAGGCTCACAGAAGCCTAGGGGCTCGGCCAATCAAATACAGAAAGAATACCAAGCAGCCACCAACTACGGAAGGACTATACCAGCTGGGATGGTCGTTAAGGCTGAAAGGAGGCCGAGAGGTAGAGTCAGAGCAGGTGGAAGCTCTGGTTGAGGAAGCTGAGGTTAGGAGAGAGCACAAGCTACAGGAACAGAGGAGGTGGCGTCAGAGAGAGGAGCAGGGACACCACAGAGGAAGCAGGGCCTCCCTCAGGGTGACAGGGGGGCTGGCCAGTCCTCTGGCCTTCTCACTTCCAATGACAAGCACATGGGGTCTTACAATCAATCCCTCCTTTCTTGAGACAATTTGAGGGGCCTCTGTTTTTATTAACAGCAAATCCTAATTAAAACCATCTTGAGTTTAGAGAAACATCAATTAACTTGATGTTTCACGTGAGTTTAGTTTGACCCGCCCATTTAGACTTAAGGGCCCCAAAGCGAGGTGCACGTGTGTCTCTTCCAGGAGCCTGCCATAATGCAGTGTAGGCTTCCATACGCGTTCTAGAATGGCTTGCCATCCATGTCCACATACCTTTGCCTCATTATCATCATCATCATCTTCTTTGTAGCCAACTCTGGAAAATCAACTGAAAGCATCACTGCTGAACAAATGAGAAAGGAAATATACATTCCTTGTCCAGGAAGCTGTCTCTATGCCACCTGAGCACAAATTTCTGGAACCTTCATAGTTTACGTGCTATGGACAATGGGCACAGTGTGGACGTTTCAGAACTGCTGCAGGCTGTCTCCAGGCCTCATTCAGCGCCATCCCTCTGGGTAAATTGCTGGGTCTCAGATTCAGCCTCTTAAAAATGGGGTTAACATCTGGTTATGGTGAGAGGAAAATAATAAAAGTGAAGAACTATCAGCTGAACAAGACATGACAGACGCTTACTTGCAGCAAGTCCTCACTCTGCTTAACAAAATGCCCCATGTGCTCAGATCAGCCGGTGAGATGCACAGAGTGGATGTGGGGGGGCCAGCTGCTGGCCACTTGGGCCCCTGGCCTGCTTCCACAGCACCTTCGGATAGCTTTTGTCCCTCGTCCCCCGTCCTTTCTGCTTTCCAAGCTCCCAAGGGGAAGGCAAGGTTGGGGGAACAGGGGCAGGAGAGTCCACATACAGCTTTTTCATGGGTGTGTTTGTGCACACACAAGAATTGTTCAACACAGAAAGCCTTTCGTTAGGGTCTGACAAGACAGTGCCCTACTTCCCCCCCATCTAGACATTGGTTTTCTTTTTTTAAAGATTTTATTTATTCATTTGAGAGAGAGAGAGAGAGAGAGAGAGGAGAGAGGGAACACAAGCAGGGGGAGTGGGAGAGGGAGAAACAGACTCCCCACTGAGCAGGGAGCCCGATGCGGGGGCTTGATCCCAGGACCCTGAGATCATGACCTGAGCCGAAGGCAGACGCTTAACAACTGAGCCACCCAGGCGCCCCTAGACATTTTCTGCCAAGAAAAGGAAAAAAACAAAAGCAAAACAGATGATAGAGATGGGTAGACAATAGAAGAGAGAGAGACAGACCCACAGCCGGCCCTCTCCAGGAAACATCAGTCCTTGTTTCTCACGATTCCCAGCAGGTGAGCAGAAAAGGCCCTTCTCCTGAAGGATTTGGCCCCGCTCAGTATGCAACTGGCTGTCTGCAGGGAGAGAGAGGCCCACCTGAGTTTCTCTGTTAAGTGGAATGACCTAGAGAGACTTCAGCTGTTCTCAAGGTCTTCGTATCCCGACATGAGGCAGCAGGGAAATCATCTGAGACCAGTGGCTGTCCCCAAACTCTTCTGTTGGCTGGCACTTAAGGGACCTTGTATTCATTTTCTTGGGCTGTCCTAACAAAGTACCACAGACTGGGTGGCTTAAACAACAGCAATTTTTTAATCTTATGGTTCTGGAAGCTACAAGTCAGATAAAGGGTTGTCGGCGGGGTTGGTTCCTGCTGAGGGCTGGGAGGGATAATCTCCGCCTTGCCCCTCCCCTAGCCTCTGTGCTTTGCTGGTGATCTTTGGCATCCTTGGCTTGTAGAAACATCACCCTGTCTCTGCCTTCACGTTCACTTGGTGTTCACTCTGTGTGCCTGTCTCCAAATTTCCCCTTTTAGGACTTACCTTAATGACTTCTTTCTTACTTGATTCCCTCTATAGAGACCCTATCTCCAAATAAGGCCACATTCTGAGAGAGTGGGGTTTAGGACTTCAACGTGTGTGTGTGTGTGTGTGTGTGTGTGTTTCACCATTTAACTTACATCAGGTCTCACCTTGTGTGTGTGTGTGTGTGTGTGTTTCACCATTTAACTTACATCAGGTCTCACCTCATCTGACCCAGCATGCGAGGTCTGCACTCACCCCACCAGCCTTGAGTTTTATAACCAGTCACAATGACCTTCTCCCTTTGAGTCTTGACTTCTTGGACTCAGTTAGCCAGAGGCTGGGGAAACAGCTTGATTAAAGCCCGCACTGCTTGAAAAGCTCAGGGTAGGGAGGTTCCACTCAAGCGCCTCTAATAATTTCTGTGGTTTTTCCAAATTGGTGCACGTTCTCAGCTTTGCCCACTTATCCTAACTCTTTAAACCCCTTTGAGAAGGATGGGAGGGAGCCTGGAAGGCTGGCTCCCTCCCTAGATTTTGTGTGACTCTCTGCAACAGGACTCCTGTCAGGCAGCCACTAAGGGAAGGTAGCTAGAGCTCAAGAACCTTTGGGCTGTGAGCTTGTCATTCATGGAGCTGGAAACACTGAGGTCAGGCCTAGCTCTGGTGTGGGAGTTAGGAAAGAGAGGGGTTACAGGGGCGAGGGGAGGACAAGGGGACCAGGGAGGGGATGAAGGGGGCCAGGAAAAGAGATTTGTTATTATTACAGGCTTTTCTATAAACTAGGTAATTTGTGGTTGTGCAAATAAATGTTCTCTTCATTAGGCTGAAAAGAAGTTGTGTGTTGCCGTTGGGATTGTATTTGGCTTTGTGTAATAGAAAATCTGAAAATAATAAAGGCTTTATAAAAATTGAACTTTATTTCTTCCTTACATCAAAGAAACCTGGAGATAGGCAAGCCAGGGCTGGTAGGGCTGTCTTATGGTCTTCAGGGAACAAGGCTCCACTTAATACACTGTTCCCCCAACCTTAGCATGTCTCCTCATGGTTCCTGATGGTTGCTAGGCCACCAGCCATCACATCCAGATACCAGGTAGCAGAAAAAAGGCTTCTTAGAGACCCCATACATTACTTCTGCCTACATCTCATTGGCCAAGTGGCCATGTAATCTTCTCTGGATAGCTATGTACCCAGCAAAACCTGGGGATTGGTTATTAGGAAAAGAAGAAAGAATGTTGAGGGGCAAACAGTGGTCTCCACCACCACACTATATATAAAGGGGATACAGTTACTATCTAAATTCCCAAGTTTACCCTCGAAAAGAGAATGTTTCTGAAGCATAAATTCTTTGTCCTGGAGGATCTCATATCCCACTGGATGTGAACCATCCCTCAGGCCTCAGCTTCAGCCTCCATTCCCCCAGGAACCTTCTGGGTCCCTGAGCCTGAATAGCCTCCCCTGTCTTACGCTCTCGTTGCACCTCGTGCTTCTCCTTCAAAGCTCTTGGCACCCACATCATTATTGAATTATCTCAAGTTATTTGTGTAAGGACTGCTTTCCTTGTAAACTGGACGGTAAGCCTCTTACTCTGCCTTGCTCACCATTATCTCCATAGTTGATGTAGGAGAGGAAAAACTTGCCTCTACCCTTTTAGGTTCTGTCGCTGGACCTAAGAATTAAACTGACATAGTAAGACAGATTAACAGGAGAAAAGCATACACATTTTATTTCATATTTTTACATGTACACAGGAGTTTTTAGAAGGAAAATGAGGGCCTGAAAAAGCTGTTAAGCCCAAATTCACTGTGGGGAGAAGATAAAGAGGCTTGGACTAGGGGCAGTAAATTGTGGGCCAATGACTAGGAAATATATGGGGGGAAACTAGTTAAAGATAGGTGTTATCTTAGGTTTGTTTGCACAGGGCCTTTTTGGCATCTTCTTCCAGTCTCTGGTGAGAGACAGGTGGAGGGCACCTTTCTCGGGGGAAATTTTATGATCTGCTTTTAGGTAAAAAAGCGAACCCTTCCCCGATCTGCTGTTTCTCAAGTGACTTCAGCTCAAAATAATCACTAAAAGTGGTGTATTTGGGGGTGGCTTGTTCTGAACCCCTTCATAGACCTTCAATAAATATTCATTAGCTGACTGACTTTGAGTGATTAGAATACTAGAGAAGCCCCAGATTCAAGGCCATTTCCAATGAGCCTTTTCTTTAACTGACTCAGCCTGGCTGAGACAGGGCCAACCCAGATTCTCCTGTGCTGTACACCTTCCAGGATTTGGGTGGCCTGAGTACCCACACTGATGTCTGGGAGGGATGTGGGTTGGGGGTGTCTGACCAGCCTCTTTGAGGAGGATTCCCATGATAAACCCCACTTTACAAAACCAGCTCCAGCCAGAAGCACGCCCAGGAGGGCAGGGGAACAGAGACTAGAGCAGTGTGGGTGATTTTAGTTCAGAAAATGCAGCTGGCCGCCCCATGTTTTGGGAAGAAAAGTAGGTCACCATCCTACACTCAGTCCAATGGCATCCCCAGGCCCTAAAGGGGAAGGAAGGGCTGTGTTATCTCTGGTGTCACAGGCTACGGGCAAATTCGGTCACACTCAGCTTTATGGGAACTACCTGCCCCACCTCCTGGTCATTCTCAACACTCCCTAAAAATGCAGAAAAGATCAGTCCAGGCTTTTAGGTCTTGGATACAGAATCTTCCTGAAGCCAGCTTTTAAAGAAGGAGTTCATTTCAGCACCACCCAAACCAAAAGGCAGAACCCAGAATCCAGAATGGCTCCCAAACCCTCCATTTTAAACTTATCCAATTAAAGAAGGAGAATTCTGTGTTCTGGCTTAGGATCATGGGGTTTTAAAAGAGAGAGCACTTCTGTGGGAGCCCTGGGAGAGAGCCTCGGGTGATGCCGGTGAGAAGCTCTGTGGACAGGGCTCCCTCCCATTCCCCAGCCCAGGGAGAGATGAGACCAAGATTGAGAAATGAAGACTCATCTCCAATTTGCCAAACAAAACATCACCCCCTGCATCCTGTCCTTCCACATGCAGCCCTGCGATATTAGTCATAACAATCCAATCATACTTCAACCACTTCTCCTTCTGACTGAGAAGCTGAAAGTCATATTCACCCTTGGTGTGATTCGGGGATTTTCTGGGGTAGGACTGATGATGGGGTGCGGGAGTCGTCCCCTCCTGGTTTGCAAGATCAAAAATGTTGTGAGCCTGCAGTAAACCATTGGTAACTTGAATTGGCCATGGTGGGAGTGTTTACACTGTGGAAATTGGCAGATACTACAAATGAGGGTTTTGTTGCTTTTTTTCAGGGAGCCGCTTTAGCGGCACATGCTGCCTTAGTTGTGAGGCCGAGGTGTCCTGGGAGGGCTGGAGGAGGTGGTGGGAGAGGGCCATGGAGTGAGCGGTGCTGAGAGTGTTCGGTGCTTTCCCTGACATCTCTGTGACGTCATTCGTCTCCACTCGTCATGCATTTCCTTGGGTCAGTGTTTTCTCTGTGGAAACACCGAGGGAGTCCACTCCTGCTTCGCTGGGGAACGGGGAAAGTTTACTTTCACTCACCCCTCTGCTAAAGGGCTCCGAGAGCCCAGCTTCCAAGAGCAGCAGGCCCATTTTCTTGCAGACAGAGGAGAGAAGGAAAAGCTGGGGAGGAATCTTTAGTGGCGACAAGTCAGCAGAAAAGCAGATATGGGCAGCCTGATGGGCAAGGGTGGGCTTCCTTCACATCCTCCGATCAAATCAGCGAGCCAAGGGTGTCAGTGGGGGCCACAGGTGACATTCCTCGTGAAAGTGGATCCCTCTGTTTCAGATGCTATTTTCAGAAGTCACAAAAGATTGAAAAACAAATTATGTTCATAAGAAGGATAATAAATGAGGACAGGACTGGTGTAGGGGAAAGTTCTTAGATTTTACTGTGCTGGCCAGCCTGGGGAAGGGGTGCTTGCAGAAACGGATTTCCAGGATTTTCTCTGAGAAATTTAGACTCTGGAGGTCTAGAGAGGAGACCAAATATAGGGCCCACCCCCACCTTTTTTCAGGGTTTATTTATTTCAGAGAGAGAGAGCAGGAGACAGCAAGCATTCCCAAGCCGGGGGAGGGGCAGAGGGAGAGGAAGAGGGAGAGAATGTCAAGCAGGCTCCTCACTCAGCCCTCACAGGGCTCAATCCCAGGACCCTGAGATCAAGACCTGAGCTGAAATCAAGGTTCGGATGCTTAATTGACTGCCACCCAGGCGCCCCCCAGAATCAGCCTTTGAAGAGCTCCACTCCCATCCATTGTTCTGCTGCTGTTGTCCTCAGGCCTGCCCTCAGAGAAACTGGTCTAGAAAGGGTCCTCGGGGGCCATATGTTGATGGTGGATTCATCCCTGGGTGGGACCCTCCTCAGTGCTCAGGCCCTGCTCGGCCTCAGGTCTTCAGGATTCATCCACTGACATATGTGGGCTCAGCTCGGTGCTGGGAATTATGGGAACAGCATAAAAACACAAAAGAGCCTTCTGTTCTCACCACTGTGAGTTTGGGGATGGAGGGTGGGGGGGATGGGGTGGAGCCTGGGAAACGTAGTTCTGAGGCTCCGAGACGAACATCTGGGTTGCTGTGGCCGAACCAGCGACCTCTAAGAGAAGTAGGAATCTCTAAGAGGAGTTTAGTCATCCTGATTTCATTGGGGAAGGATTATTCCGGTGGAACACTGAGTACTAAGGCCAAAGCACTGGATGATTTGGTCAAAGTCCACACGCCAGGCCTCAGCCTCCAAGCCCAGCCGCTAGCTGCTCTCCAGCCCTGGGAGAGGCAGAAAGGGGAGTGTGGGGAAGCTCTAGGCAGTGCCCCTCCTCTATAGGGAGGTCAGCCCTCCAAACATCTCTCCCCTCCTTGCCCACCCCACGTGCAGCTGCAATGCCCCAGGGCCCTGCGCAGTGCAGGACTGATGCCTCCCCGCTAGGTATCTAGGGATGACAGTGGATTTTTGTATCTCGGCATAATTGCAAGGAAGTCCTTCCCCCATGGGCTCAGGGAACCTTCTGGGAACTATTAAAAGCTGCTAGAAGTCGGTTTTTCTTGTTGGAAGCCCCTCTTGAGAGTTTACATTTATAAAGCCTGGCAAAACTCATTCGAAGAACCCAAATTCACTTGCAAAGATGAGGTGAAAAGGGGCCATGGCGTCCCACAGATGGGCTCACTCTGGAGAGAAGCTAGTGATCAACAGTGGTCCCCCTTCTGCCACCCCCAGGAAGACATCCCACCCCAGATGGCCCAGCCCTGCCAGAGGGCATCACCGGAACAAAAAAAGAAAGAAAAGATGCCAGTTTTCATCTCTGCCTATCGAACACCTCATCATCTGAGGAGAAGTCTCTTGCAGCCCTTCCTTGCCTGTGCTCTTTATATTTATGTATAAGCCACTTCCTGTTTCCATTTCTAGGTCATAAACCAAGCTTACAGATTCACTCAGCCAGGAGGCCCAGCTACTATCCCCTCTCAGAGACCATGGCTGTCTCTCAGGGAGGGATCAGAGGATACAACTTGGAAAGACAAGATATCGGTTCATTCTTAGGAAAACATAGGAACTTTCCAAGGTTTTTTGGAATACTTCCTGCCTAGGACCAGAAGGTTGGCATGCTTGAAAAACCTGTGACTTGCTTGGTTTGCGTTTCTCTGCTCTGCTGATGCCCAGCTCCTCAGCTCCTTGGAGGAACTGAACAAGGGCACTTTGGGAAGACTTTTTGCAAAGACCTCACTGGAAACCTTGCTTTGCCAAGGGGCCTGGCCTGCCAGACAATCATCAGGCAATAGCTGTTAGCCCCTAAGGAAGACATGAACAAGAAGCCGTTTGAAAACATTATCTTCTAGAAACTAAATTTCAAAACAAGGAAGAAACCACAACTCACACACGTGAGTGGATGTTCAGTAACCGGGGTTCACGTGAAGACCTTCAAGAATAGGTTTTGCACAATTCTACTGCCTTCCCTTTTTGATTGCTAAGCAGTTTACTCATCCTGATTTCATCAGGAAGGATTATTTTGATGGAACATTGAGTTCTAAGGACAAGGCACTAGATGGTTTGGTCAGGGTCAATGTGCCAAGTCAGTATGGGCTGCTAGTTTGGCTTCTCAACTCCATACTCTGAACTTTTTTTCTGTGAAAATGTATTGTAAGCTGGAACCCACCTGAGATGGCCCAGAAAATGCTGAGTGCCAATCTTTTCCCCCATGCCTCTAAATGAGTCATGCATTCAGGGATGTGTGGGGCCAGAGGCTTGGGGCAGAGTCCCTGTAAAGGTCACCCATGTTGCAGGCTCCTGCATGTTACATCTTCCTCCACAGCAGGGAAGGAAAGGGGAGAGGGAAGAACAGGCCCAGAAAGGCCCAGAAACTCAGGCCAGCCTAGGAGATAGGGATGAGGGCTGCTCCTGAAAGCAGTCAGGAATGCAGATCCTGGCTTTTCAGAGAGTACAATCCTGAGCTCAGGGAGATATCTCCCAAGAGAGAAACGGATATTCTGAGTCTAGTTGTGCAGAGAAGCAACAATGCCATATGCAGATCTACAGAAAACAGAACACAAAAATTGTCTTCCTTTTAATTACTGAGGGTGTAGGGAAATAGGAATTCTCATACTCTGCTGGTGGGAATATCAACTGGAAAAATCTGGTTGGTTGGCAGCTTAGTAATGTATGTTTGAGGCAGAGACAATGCTTTGCATTCACCAGACTCTGTTTGCTTCCAGGACACACAGGAAAACTGCATTTCCCACCCACGGTTGCAGTTAGGAGCAGTCATGTGACCGAATTCCGGACAATTGGAAACTGGGCAGAAGTGATGTGAGTCGATTTTAAGCCTGGCCCTAAAACCACCTGTGTAATTCTCCATTCTCTCTCTCCCTCCCTCCCCCTTCCCCCCACTTCTCATTTTCTCCTCTCCTTTTGCCTATCAGCTGCAATCAGGGGATCCGTTGAAGAACTCCAAGTCTCTGGCAAATGGAAAGCTATCATATGAACAAATCCTATTTCCAGCTGACTGTGTAGAGCTCCTTCCACCCCGCAACCAGATGACCTACATTGAACTATAATATAAGAGAGAAATAAATCTTTACTGTGTTAAGCCAATGAGCTTTGGGGGTGTCTGCTACAACATTTAGCCTATCCAGACTGATGTAATATCAAAATCCTTAAAAATGTCCAAAAGCTTTGACCTAGCAACTACATTCTTTGGAATATAGCCAAAGGAAATAATTAGGGGCACCTGGGTGGCTCAGTCGATTAAGCATCTGCCCTCAGCTCAGGTCATGATCCCGGTGTCCTGGGATCCAGCCCCTTCAGGCCCCCTGCTCAGTGGGGAGGCTGCTTCTCCCTCTGCCCTCCCCTCAAATAAATAAATAAAATCTTTTAAAAAGCAAAGGAAATAATTAAGAATTGTCACTATAGTATTGATTATAATAGCAAAAAAATCTGGTAAACAACATTAACTTCCAATAATGAGATTCATTAAATAATAATACAACTCTGCAAGAAACTTTAGACACTTAATATCATTGAAATGTATTTATTGACATGACAAACTTTCATGATATGTACATGAGAAAGAGCAAGTAACAAAAACATGGCAGGCATGCACCTATAACTATACACGCATATATGCATAGAAAAAAGTCTGGAAATATACCACAATAACCGTGATCATCTCTGGTAATAGGATCACAGACAGCTTTTTTAAAATATTGTCTCTTTATTGCCTCTTTTTTGCCGTTTGCCCTTGCTCTACAATGAGCATATATTTCTTGACTTAAAAAAAATGTTTTTTTAAGTAGCCTGCTGGAAATGGATAGATCTCCTTCAACCTTGAAGGCTGGCCTTGCTCTGAGTATAAGTGTACTGTGTGCAAGGGGAATCCAGGTTCCTTGGATGCTCGGCTGGTCAGGGACTGAAGCCCCACCACTCATGAGGTTAAACATCCGTTTCATCTTCATCAGTGGGAGCAGATCTCAGGCTCTTTGCACAGCCCTTGGCTCAGTCCAACTGACAAAATGCCCTGGCTTTAAGGAAGGGAATGCCGAGGTTTTTTAATATTTCCTCAGAGAGTTGATGGGCCTCCGAACTCTCTTCTTTTTGGGTCCCAGTTGGGATGATTTGGGAAAAGTGTGGCCACAGATCTCCCTCTCCCGAGACAAGCTGGGTGATGCAGACTGTGCCCATGCTGTGGGGAGCAGGGCAGGAAATTACACTCTAACTATAGGTCTTCAGTCAGAAACCCAGCAGCCTCACCACAAAATAAATTCAAGAGCCCTGCAGCCTTGGTGCCCTGACCTACAAGATCAGAGTCTCATGCAATCTCTCCAAGTGAACTTTGAACAAACAGCAATGTGGCAGGTTTTCGTTTTGACCTTCCAACCACATGATCATGCCAGAATTAAGTTATAACTCCAACTTTTTTCCTTCTGCCAAATTATTCCCTGCCCTTGTCAGCCAACCCTCACATGGGGAGAATAAGCCACTGAGGTTTCCTGTTGAGGAAGGTTCTTTGTGTTCTGTGAGGGGACCATATATTAACACAACCCATGCGTAAGTTTTGTGTGTAGTCAGACCAAGCTATTTTAGTTGAACTTAATGGCTTTTTGGCAAATTATATGTCCCCAAAATGCAGACATGTGAGGAAGGGAAGACTTCTGACATGAGATCTTGATGCACTACGTCGGGAGAGGGGCTTCCCCTGGAGCAAATGAAGAGCCAAGCCTGAGGACCTGAGAACACCTACAAGAAAACCTTAGCATTTCTTTTCCATTCCTCTCCACGACACAGATTCTTCCTGCCCTTCGAGGCCCAG